TGAATGTACTTCATTTTACTTCAATAATGCTTTAATTTGAATATGTTTAAGGGATTGTATGGTAATAATTTATATGTTGAAGTTACAAGACATTTGTTATTTTTATTGACTATGATAATTTTTTTTTTTGTTTTCTGAAAATTTCCCATCTCAAATTGTCCTAAATCTGTTATGTTTTGAAGTGCAGATGAAAGCTTAGCCTCTTTTTAAATACAACATATATAAACAAATACAAATACATGCATATTTTTCAAAACAGGTTTTATTTTTTAACTATGAGAAAATCAATGCCATAAACCTAAACAAATTATACTTCACATTTGAGATTGATCTCTCGAAAAAATTAGGTTTTAGTGAAATTTTGTTGGGGCTGCAGTACCAAATACTTCCATCAGACCACTGCACACTTTAAAAATCATGTCCATGTTTGTGTGCGTGTGCATGTTCATGTAGCAAGTGCTGAACTAAGTTTTGTATAATTTTTGAAGATTTTTTTTAAAAGCACAAACAAGTACAAAATTTGTCAATCAAAAATAACAGTACCTGTCCACAGTCTAAAATTTGCTCAGCTCAAAAATATTTCAGACTATAAATGACTCTTTGTGAACAAAAATCTCTAAAATCTTCATCTGGTAATCATAAACGGCTGGAAAAAATCATGGAAATTCATTGGCAAAAAGGTGTTTGAACCTTATTGGGGCTCGTTGAATACTTTTTTCCACAGGCGTTAGTTACATTACATGATCGTATTACGCAACGGAACACTTACAGTATGTAACATGACAATACACTGCATTACTAACAGTTTATATCACAAGACAACATTTCAACAACATCTGTTTAACTTTCACACTTACTGGTCCTCCCTGAAATAGGTGAAACCCACAAATGGTAGCTGGTTCCCTGCGAAGGCACGGGGCGGAGGGAACGTCTCTGTTCCTATCGGATCATCCTTAATGTCATCATCAAAGTTACTGGTGTCAATATCGCTACTCAGCTCTGGCACCACTGGAGCCATGGCTGAGAGAGACAGAAAGAGAGAGAGAAAAAAGAAAAAAATATTGTAAAAAAATTGGAGTGTATGTGTGTGTATGTGTGAGTGTGTGTGTGTGTGTTTGCCCAGCAGTGAAAGGCTTAGTGTGTGTAGCACACAAAGCAGACACTGTACTGAAGGGAGGAGTGGCATGAATGATTTGCCAAGCTGGTCAGTGCTTTACTCACTACCTACAGCGCACACACACATACACACTCACTCGCGCTCACTTACACATCCAAAACACTGGCTCATTCTGGAGTTAAAGAGCTGATAGAACATGTGTTAGTAGGCTGTATTCACACATTCACAAGTAAAGAGTCAGCAATGTTGGATGAGAGATATTTTTAAGATTCGATTTTGTATTAGGATAGAATAAACCACTTTTATCTTTATACGACACAATTATTTACAATTTTATTTAGATAAAAAAAAAAAAAACTCACCGGCCACTTTATTAGGTACACCTCTCCAACTGCTCGTTAACGCAAATTTCTAATCAGCCAATCACATGGCAGAAAGTCAATGCATTTAGGCATGTAGACATGGTCAAGACGATCTGCTGCAGTTCAAACCGAGCATCAGAATGGGGAAGAAAGGTGATTTAAGTGACTTTGAACGTGGCACAACACGTCCAACCTTGAGGCGGATAGGCTACAGCAGCAGAAGACCACACTGGGTGCCATTCCTGTCAGCTAAGAACAGGAAACTGAGGCTACAATTCACACAGGCTTACCAAAATTGGACAATAAAAGATTGGATAAACGTTTCCTGGTCTGATGAGCCTTGATTTCTGCTGCAACATTCAGATGGTAGTGTCAGAATTTGGCGTCAACAACATCAAAGCATGGATCCATTCTGCCTTGTATCAACGGTTCAGGCTGGTGGTGTAATGGTGTGGGGGATATTTTCTTGGCACAATTTGAGCCAACTAGTACCAATTGAGCGTTATGTCAATGCCTCAGACTGGTTTCCTAAACATGACAATGAGTTCACTGTACTCAAATGGCCTCCACAGTCACCAGATCTCAATCCAATAGTGGACCTTTGGGATATGATGGAAAGGGAGATTCACATCATGGATGTGCAGTTGACAAATCTGCAGCAACTTAGTGATTCTATCATGTCAATATGGACCAAAATCTCTAAGGAATATTTCCAGTACCTTGTTGAATCTGTGCCGCGAAGAATTAAGGCAGTTCGGAAGGCAAAAGGAAGTTCAACCTGATACTATTGAGGTGTACCTAAAAAAGTGGCCAGTGAATATATATATACTGTATTATGTGACTAAATAGTTTTGGATTTATGTTTTTTCCCTCTAATTATTCCATTTTGCTTTTTTTCATTATTTCCATCTCAAATTTGTTTAAAGTTTATTTTATTTCCATTATTAAAGTCAAATTACTATTATGGTGCAAAAAACACAATACACACACACACACACACACACACACACACACACACACACACACACACACACACACACACATACACACACATACACATATATGGATATATGGATGATATTACCACAAACCATCTGAATAAATAAACCATTGTGTATTGTATTTTTATTTATTATTCTTAAAAAAAAACTTTTCCGTTATCTTTTAATAATCATATCAGTTTTTCGTATTTGCGTACTTATTAAAACTAAGTGTGTGTGGGTTTTAGGTATATATTCTATATATGTATTACAAAATCACTTTAAGATTTTACTCATTGTTTATGTATTCTGCAATACTTTGGCAATACTTAACAGCTTTGACTAGCTCTTTTGATTTAAAGTTATTTAAAATAAATAATGATTTCAATAAGGAAATGTATGTAATGTGATTTTATTGTAGTAAAAAGTTACCTTTCTCTGTCTGCACCATAACAAAAGCCCTCATTATTTCAGCGTTTCTGCAGGTTTCATCAAGTCAAATTTAAGACTTTTTAAGATCATTTTAAGACCATTATGAATGAAATTTTAGATCATACATGTCTAAACACTAATGGTTTTTGGTTAATGGCCCGGTTGGAGCAATGAAATTGAAAAAGGAACACATGTAGTTATTTCTTTACCACATATTTTAATGAGTCAAAACAAGAAAACTCTAGTTGTATATTCAACACTTTTTCAAATTACAAGTTAAACATTGTTAAAAGTATATTTATTATGAAGAAAACTACACAAAAAAAATGCAAAAATATATATTGTTTGCATTTGGTCCAAATTGATTGAGAATAACTCTTATTCTAATGCGTTTCTGTTATAAACCCATAAGTTTCATGCCTATTTATAAACATTATGTTGTCCACTCACACTTTCTTATGTACATAATTTGTGTGTAAATGGAAGATTATGTCAAGGGATATAATGCTGTTATTATCGTAAGGTATTGTGTATTTGTTTTTATTTTTATTTTTCTGATTCTGATAAAAAAAAACTCGCTTTCGTGAAATAACATCTCTTTGCAAAAAAAAAAAAAAAACACCTTTAAAAATTAAGACCTGTTTAAAATTATTTAAGACCTACAACACAATATTTCTGTGAATTTAAGTAAAATTTAGTTTTTGAAATTTAAGACATTAAGAATTTAAGACCCCACAGATGCTCTGTTATTTGCTAACGCACTGTCAATTATTCTAACACTACACGGAGCATAAACATCCACTGTAGTAGTAGTTTACTTCCAACAAAACAGTCGTTAGTATTTTTAGCTTGAATAGAAAGAAAATCATATGTTGCCATATACAGCACCACACCATACAGATAGACTAATTTGTCGCTCATTTTCCCAGAACGCTCCCTGATAGCACTGCTAATAACAGACTGTGTAGTTTAAGCATAGAGAAAGCCAAATAGAGAGCAAATCTGAGCATCACTGGAGTGAGGAGGAGAAAACAGGTCCAAGTGTGTGGTTTTGAGGCTCTTCTGTCATTAGTAACAGTGTATGGGCCACATGTTGGGTTCCACCCTTACTGAAACTAACCCAATAGCCCTTTAACCCCATACGGAAAACACCACACATCCCTGACAGGAGCACAGCACTTCTCCTGTACATGGCAATACACAGCAGAGATCAGTGATACAAAGCAATCAATCAATGAATAAATAAATAAAAATGATCAATTATTACACTAATACACTATTCCTAAAGGTTTAGCATGTTTAGCATTATCTGCAGTTTAAAAAAAACATTCTGGCTATACTTTAGTAAATGAATTTATTTTTTATTTCATTTTTTGATCACTCAGTGTTACCAACTCAACTATTTTTGATTCACATTTTGAATATATGTTGCCTGCGCTTTTGCACACATTTGTTCTGCCTCTTATGACCTGATTCTGAATTATTTTCTTGATTTCCAGTTGTTAAACTATATTTCCTGTTCAAAGGTAATTATTTACATTTAGTTTTGATTTTTGTTTTTCTGCGAGTTGATGTTGCACTCCTACACTAATGACTATATTATTTATTTCTTATGGAATGGCATGTATATTTGCAGCATGTCTTGCTGGATGGATCACATTGAAGCGGAATACTTTAACATAATTTATTAGATATTATTTCAGTCTATATATGTCAGTTTTGTGGTTTGAGTTTCACAAAAACCTCTCAGGTTTCATTTGTTGTGCTTCTTTGTCTACAGTTACATCAATTTCTAACTGATTATCTATTTAAGACAGCTTTTGTCACTTAGATCAATTTATTTAGCTATTTTTTCCATTTATTTTGTCATTTGCACATTTGCAGTCATTTGAGTTTAAAAGAAAACATTTCTTAGTCTTATGTCTTGTTACCATAGTGACATGTTCTGAGAATAGAACGCATTCCAAAAGTGTACTTGAAGCCCTGCATCATCGGAGAATATCTTGTGGGTTTGTTGAAGTGGAGTAGTACAGGTGTGCTTTTGGCTGTTAAGTGTTAAAAAACTTGCGTTCCGAGTGTTTTGAGACTGTCTCAGCGATTGAACATCTTCCGTTTGAGTGATTCACGGTGCAAGACCGAAATCCTCATCCTATTCCAGCTAGCAAACCCCAAGTTTTTGAGTGGTTACAGGTGAAAGACTGAAACCCTGTACCGATTATATGATGGTTGAACAGATTTCTGATCTCCCCACAACATCAGCTGCTAAAATGGAGGAAAACGAAGTTCCCGAACCCTGCAAGATCTCCAAGAGCCAGAAACAAGTGAAGCAGCTCAAAGAAAGGCCAAGAAATGGCATTAATAGTGAGTCTTATTTACATTGTGCTATCCAATATCCAGTGTTTTCCTGACATAATAATATACTTACTATTAAAAATAATGTTTGTACAGGATAATAGACAGCTGGTTAAACTGCTGGCTATCATTGCATTCACGTGCATCTTAATGCAACATTTTGGGTAAAATGATAATGTATTTCATTTTCAGCTTTTCTGATACAACTTTAGTCTAAAATCCTTTAGTAAAATGAGATATGCACACAAACTTTTCATTTTCAACCGACAGCCCCGATGGCTTTCGGTGAACTGTCTTTCCATTACAAAATCACCACATTTAAGATCTGTTTTTTTAAAATCCATGGTAAACTTGTGGTAACCTTGGTTTAGCTACAATAACTTTTTAAAATGGTTATATATTGGGGTTTTTGTTTTTGGTGAATGTTCGTTTTAAATTTCTCTCAAATTACTGTAGACAAGTGTGTAAAGATGTGCAATCATTTCTCTTTTAACAGATGAGAAGGAGAAAGTAAAAGAAAAGAGAAAGAAGAGAAAGAAGAGCAAGGTTGCTTCTTTCATCAGAGCTGCTCTTCGATGGTTCTGCTTCTGTCCTCGTAATGAGCCGTTCACACTTTCCTCATCTGATGGTAAATGATGGTTTTTGCATCTCAATATTTTCTAGTGTATAATGTCATTAATAAACTGTATTTTTACTCCCCTTTATCTGGAGTTTAACGTCTCCTTGAAAATGACTTTGTACTATGTGCAAACTGCAATCATTTGTCTTAACAGATTCTGAACATGAGATCTATGAAGAGATGATTGTGGAAGAGGAAGAAGTGAAGGAGATAATGCAGGAGGAGGTGGTGGAGAAGAAAGAGGAGGTGATGGAAGAGGAGGAGGTGGTGGACAAAGAGAAAGATAACACAAAGCAAGAAAAGACAAATGAGGAGGAGGAGGAGAAAAGTGGGGAGGAGAAGGTGGTGGAGAAAAAGGAAGAAGGGAAGGAGATAATGCAGAATGAGATTGTGGAGGAGAAGAAGGAGCAGGTGAAAAAGAAGAAGGTGGTGGTGATGGTGGTGGAAGTGGTGATGGTGGAGACAAATAAACAAATAAAGAAAGATACCAGCACCCAACTAACAGAGGAGGAGAAGGTGGTGGAGAAAAAGGAAGAAGAGAAAGAGATAATGCAGAAGGAAGAGGTGGAGAAGGAGGAGGAGGTGATGAAAGAGGAGAAGGTGGTGGAGAAAAAGGAAGAAGAGAAAGAGATAATGCAGAAGGAAGAGGTGGTGGAGAAGGAGGAGGAGGTGATGAAAGAGGAGAAGGTGGTGGTGGCGAAAAAGAAAAGAAAGAAAGATACCAGCACCCGACTGTCTGAGGAGGAGTTCTGGAGAAGGAAAATGGAGGAGGAGAAGGTGGTGAAGAAAAAGGAAGAAGAGAAAGAGATGATGCAGAAGGAAGAGGTGGTGGAGAAGGAGGAGGAGGTGATGAAAGAGGAGGAGGAGGTGATGAAAGAGGAGAAGGTGGTGGTGGAAAAAAAGAAAAGAAAAGATACCAGCACCCGACTGTCAGAGAAGGAGCTCTGGAGAAGCAAAATTATCGCTAGAAGGCTATCTGCGGCAAAGTTTCTGTTTGAGCAAATAAAGGAGGAGGAGGAGGACAAGATGAAAGCTCAGGAGGAGAACAATGAGGAGAAAATAAAATACACTGGAAAGGAGGAGGAGGAGGAGGAGGTGAAGAAAAGAAGAAGGAGGAGGCGCCCAAGGAAAAACTGCAAGGTGGAAGAAGTGGAGGAGGTGGAAGGAAAGGAAAGTGAGGAGGTGGAGAATCACATTGAGGAGAAAGAGCAAATGAATGACATTGAAAAGGAGGAGGAGGAGGTGGTGAAGAAAAGGAGAAGGAGGAGGCGGCCAAGAAAAAATAACAATATGAACGAGGAAGACAAAGAACAAAGTAGAGGAGTAGAGACATACTGTATGTGAAGGAGGAGGGTGAACAACATTGTACAACATCAATAAAAATGTGTTTTGTACAATACTGTATGTGCTGTGTGTTGTGTTCATCTGCTTAATTCTCTGTTTCAAAAGTATTGAATTTTGTTTGTTTAAAGAAAATGTTGATTTATATTTAGATTAAACATAAATGTAAACATATATATGTAACAAAATTGTTTTGTATAGTTTAGTTTCTATGTATGTGTGTATCACATATACAAAACAAATATATATAATACACACACATATATAATGTCAGACTTATATTTTGCATGTGATTAATCTGCCCAGCACTAATACAGTAAACCTACAGATCCTGGAGTCTGACCTTTAAGATTTATATTGCGATTCAGATTTCTTGTTTAGAATTGTTAAAGTCTAATAATTCAGAGAATTGCTATCTTTCCGAGGCAGAAACAAGCTTCCATAGAAACCACTTACAAATCCATCACATCTTCAAACGATGAAAATCCATTAATAATCTATTCAATTAGACTTCTATCTAATTCTAACTTAATGAACTCTTAGTTTACTTTACCATCAAGACTAAAGACTTTTAGTGCAGGTCTCTAGTCGCTCCGTTTCTATTACCCTACAGTTGCACAAACTGAAATTATGTATTGAAAATATGTCCATTGGAAATGTTTAATTAGCAAAAACTGCCACTCTCACACAAACACACACACACACACACACACACACACACACACACACACACACACACACACACACACACACACACACACTTCAGACTGGCAAGAGGTGGTTTTTCAGGCAATTCAAAAAAGCTATTTATCCGCTAAAGAATAGAAAAAAAAGTTTTAGCTGCACTGTAAAAAATTTAATGACAAAAAGTCAAGACAACAAATATTTTGATGTTACTTTAACATTTTTTAATAATATAACATTTTTAAAGTTGTACCAAGTTTAACTTAATATTTGTAATCTATTTGTTGATGCAAGTTGAGATGACTAGAAAAGTTAATTTGACTCAACTGAACCATGTAAGGCAGTAGAAATATTTTTAGTGTAGACTTGAGACCACCCGAGAATTCAATGACAAAACTGTCAAATGTGTCGTGGCGGAATACTTCAAATGAATTGATTATCTATTATTTCAGTCAATATCTGTCAGTTTTGTGGTTTGAGTTTCACAACAACCTCTGGCGTTTCATTAATTGTGCTTCTTTGTCTACAGCTACATCAATTTCTTATTGATTATCTATTCAAGAAACATTTTGTCCCTTAGATTTTTTATTTATTTTTTGTCATTTGCACATTTGCAGTCATTTGACTTGAAAAGAAAACATTTCTGACAAAACTGTACAAATGTTGTAGAACAAAACACACATACACAAAATTAATAAATAAGTGATAGTACAAAACAGCACAATGTTTCAGCACAAAAACAAAAAGTAATATTATTATTAATATTATTATTATTTTTAAATTTTTTAAGTATAAACAAGCAGAGGGTTGAAGACACAAAAACACAAAAATAAAAAGAATTAATAAAAACAAAAAAAATGCAAAGAGTGATATTGCAGTGCAAAAAAATGTGCACAGAAACTCATAAAATGCTCAATAAAATAAAAGACTAATGTTGTAGATTAAACAATAAAGTAAATAAAATAATAAAAAAACGAATAAAATAATAAAAAATAATGATATTAGAAAATAATGAGGTGTTTGGTTTATTTAATATGGTGCACACACAAAAACTGCAAGAGCTATGTAGCAATACATGGCATGCAAAGCTGTCTTTCCTTGACATTTAAAGTGTAGCATGAGGGTGTGAGGTGAATGTTTGCATGTGTGTGGAGAAAAAAGTAGGAGGAATGTCAGGAAATTAAAAAGCTGTGCTTCCAAAATCCTCATAACCATAATATCCTCAAACACACAACTAAACTCCAAAACAACATTGAAAGTTTACACTTTTACCAACAAGCACATGCATAAAATGTAGATCACTTTAACAAGCCATGACCCCCAGATCAGCCACACTGACTTACTGTCTCGTATGGTGTCGAAGGTCCACTGATCATTCTTAAAGAAGGGGTGACATTTTATTTCATCCACTCCAGTTCGGCCAAGCCTCACCTCCCTGAACATAGCAAAACACTGGTCAGCAAAACAAACAGAGAAGCGCTAATCCGTTAAATGACCATCCACCAGGTACATCCAACAGCACAGCATGGAGGAGTGGAGCAGTCAGAGAGACATCCAAAAATAAGGACCGTTCACTCCCCCTTCCTTTCACTTCATCTGCATTGAGAGGGTGCAGCAGTTTGGACTGCCACGTGTGGGACATTCCAGCAGCCTGAATGCAAAGGGAGGAGTGTGTGTGTGTGTGTGTGTGTGTGTTTACATGAAAACACTGAGAGAAAACATTAAACCCCTCTCTGTATGTTTGATCAGGAATGCTTGTATGTGGGCATGTGAGGGAGGAGAAAGAGGGAAGGAGAAAAGAGGAATTCAGATGGAAGTTGTCAGGCTGGAGGGTGAACGTCCATGAAGATGACATGTAGTAAAAGCAGTAGGACATGAAATTTATGTTTTATTAGGAACTTTATTTATAAAGAGCTTTTAAAGGCATAACAGGATTAAAAATCAGCTTGTGTGATGTCTTTAAATTTAATCTAATTTAATTCAATTAAAATGTTGCTATGGCTTAGTAAGTTTTTTGGCAATTTGGTGCTAAAGAAATATTTCTTGGGATTATTATTATTATTATTAAGAATTATATGTATATTTTTAGAATTTTTCTAAAACCATTAAAGAAAAAAAATCTTATTGACCATAAACCTTAAAAAATAGGGAACATTTCATATAATAACACTGATAAAACGTTTTTTTTCACTGATAAAACTATTTATTTATGTTTTAGGTATCTGTAGTAATCAGGCTAAGATTATATTGAAATTGTTGTATTTTGTCAAATATACATATTATTTACTAATTCAATCAATCAGAACACTACATAGTGTAAACAACAACAACACTGGGTTGTACAAAACTGTGTGTCAATTATACAGGGCTGCAAAATTATGAGAAAAAAATCATTGAATATCTTGAATGTTTTAATAAAGATTATTCATTTTTTTATAGCCAACATTTGTGTTTGGGGAAATGGATCATTATATTCTGGCAAATTATGTTTTTCCATCACATTAGTTGAATAAACTGAGCAAAAACTGCACATTTTTCTCACTGAAGCTGATAAATTAATCTGCTACTTATTTTTTTGTGCCTTATAATTTATGGCAAGATAACTTTACTGTTTTCAGTGATAACAAATATTAGGTACTAGGTGATTACATTATATATGTTATAAACTCCAAACTCCAAAATAAATCAGATCAAAAATGCATAATAAATTGTCCAGAAAATGTACTTTTTTTTTTTTACAGTAAAGTTAATTTCAAATTGAAAAAAATAAATAAAAAATGTACTACCAGCCAACCTCTAAAAACAAACAAGTAAGGGTTTATTACGCTAGTAAGTGTCTAGTAAAAGCAGTAGGACATGAAAAATTTTATGTTTTATGAAAATCTTATTTTATGAAGAGCTTTTAAAAGCATAAAGTTAATAAAGATAGACTGCTACGTTCTCCTTACATTAAGTTTTAAAAATTATTTGGTGTATAAGAAATATTCCTTGAGATTGTTATTTAGGAAAAAAAAAGTGCAACGTTTTTCTAAAATCCTTAAGAAAATAAATCTTACCGAC